CCTTAATCAATAAAAAATATATTTAAAAAAAAAAGAATATTCTAACTCAAATCTGGTTAAAGCCAAAATGCCTCTTGGACTACTCCTGCTTTCCAGTGTCCCGTTGTCCTTTTTCGATTTGCATTGTTATGTGACATTCTTGTTTAGGTCACAGGAGTCTATCACGATAAAAATACTCACTTATTGTCATTATTAATAAATGCATGTCAACATTGCTCTGGGGAAGAATCAATGACAAAAACAACAATCCAGATTTTACCCTCTGGTCAGCAGCTTTTGGGGAAAAAGGCTGTCCTACCTCAGGACTGAGTCACTTACCTGTCCCCCATGGAGGTGTTGCAGAGGAAAATGTGGACAGCAAGCCCATTGTTAGACCTGATGTCTCCAGCTCCACATAAGGTGTGCAGGCCCTGGGCGAGACCCAAAGAAAAAGGAAGAGTGAACATGAATAGTACCTAAGAGGCTACCCCTCCTCCTGGTACCCGAGGGCCATGAGACAAAGTTCTAGTACAAGTGTCTTCCCTTTGGGACCAGTGGGACATTTGGGATTCAGGTTACTTATGGGGAGTCCAAAATTTATTGACTTATGTTTGGTAGATGGTGGTTCACCTTAGTTACCTGCCATGGTGGTTCACCTTAGTTACCTGCCATGGATTGTCTTAATTGCTGCATCAGATGAACTTATAGAGCATCAATTGATTAGAGCCTTTCATCATTTTTGTACTTAGATCAACCTGAAGGAAAGTTTCTATTGGAGGTAAAATCAGATATCCAGGAGGCTTGGGGAGGAAGACTGCACCATTAGGCACCAGTCAATGCCCCTCAAATACCCCAGACCATGTGGGCACTCCTCTGCTTAGGAATAGGGTCAGCACTAATCTCCCCAGAACAAGGCAAAGGGGAGAGCTCTGACCAACTGTAACCCTCTGCTGATCATCCGCAGTCCAAGAAACTGTAACACTCAGGCCATCTAAAGCTGCCCTCAGCCCCAAACCTGTACACTGAGAGCCCACAAGGAGAGAGTTCTGTTCCTCCAGATATCCATGATTCACACGGGGTGGAGGACTTCTTTTTGTATTTTAATTCAATTTCCAAGTTTGGGGGCTACTTAGATGAGTCTATATAGGGGTTGGAACATTTAATGTGGGTGAGGAGGTCAACATGATACAAACATTCTGGCCTAAGGCTGGACATCTGGACTCTCCCTACATAAACCATGACCTGAGGTTGGTCTGCAGAATCTTCCACTAGCTTTTTTGAGCCCCACCTCCTTACAGCTCCTCTCTTCCTCCCTGATATGCCTTGCTCTGAGCACAGGTGTTCCTATACTCTCAGCATCTATTACTACCAAGCAGAACTTCTAATCAGCATTGTCCTAACCAGAATTGCTGGCCTGAGTTGATCCTATTCAGGGGATCATTTTGGAGAGTTTCTGAATTTGAATGGGAAAACAAATTATATATTTGTTTTCACTAATCTCTGACTGAAATTTATCATTTCCTTCAGTTAATGTGGACATAAGCAACAAACTACAGCAGTATTAGAGGTGCCTGTAACCTTGACACTGATAGAAATTATGGATCATTTTACATCACATTAGAGTTGTTACAGATATACCAAAATATCATTTATATTCATACTTCTAATAACCAGAGTTATTAGATCTTCTCATAGATTTTGTGATTTAGTGCATTAATAAGGAAGCATGCTTATTATAAACCAAACCAAATTTATTTTAATATTTTCATCATTGTATTTCAATATAACCGGCTTCTTTGTCATTTTATGTAATTTATTTTATGCATTTAAGAACACAGCCTTCACCAGACTACCAAAGGAGTCTTTGTTCTCCAAAACAAAGGAACCTAGGAAGGTAAAAGCTCAATTTCCGTTGGCTGTTGGGAGATGTTGTAAATAGCCCTCGAGTGCCCTTTGGTGTCAGGGGGGAGATGGTGCCTGTAAGTAAGACATCAATGGGCAGTGCGGAAAGCAGAGGCAGATGGTGCTGTGCCGGCTGCCCGCCTCTAAGGCTGCTTCTGCCTGGCATTCAACCCGCAAATGGCTGGATCACTCATGGCGGAAGAGAGAAGGAACAGCGGGAAGGTGTGGGCAGCATTGACTTACACTCACAAAGTCCACCTTCTTCTGAGATGCTTTTGGAATCTCAAATGGTTTCCATCTAAGCTGGAAAAAAATACACATACAGGAAAATGATTTCACAATGGGGAAACCATAGACTTTCTAAATAAAAAGCACCTATTACACAGAAAAAGGACCTTGTGATTCTGACTACTTGTGATTTTTGTTATTTTAAATTTAATAATTATCCATCATTTCCTTAAAGGGGCTCATTTGGTGTGTGTGTGTGTGTGTGTGTGTGTGTGTGTGTGTAATTCATATGCATATATATTGTCTTTGTTCATCAGCACTTTGAATTACAAAATTTTTTTTTTTAAAAAAAACCGTTGCTTCTTATTTCAGAAACTGTTTATTTCTTTTAGCATTTGGCTCAGGCACACCAGTGAGTTTTGACCGATGCTGCTTCTAATGCTATTTATAATCAGCTCCCTTTGCTGGCACGCCAGCCTCTCTGTGTGGGCCCCGGACACAGCAGGAGAAGGTTCTACTTCTCCTGCCAGCCCTTGGAGTTTTGAATTATTTCTTGAAGCGAAAGAAAAAGCACCCAGCCGAGATTGAATTTGGTAACTGCAGTACCAGGTTCAATTTTTTTTTCCACCAAACCCTACATTTGTCCCCAGGCTGCCTGACAGTTCAGTTTAAATCACAACAATCTTTAATTTAATAATGAAATGATCTAAGGAAGTGGGGAGAAAAACCAGCAGGTCCAGGCCCTACTCAGAGTCAGCCCCATACTTATCAATCAGTCTGGCAGCAGGCCCGACCCAGCCAGACTGGCAGCTGATAAACCTAGCAGCCTCGGGACACTCCGTGGGGCGAACTGCACCCCAAGGAATGGCCCCACTGGCTAGGTAGGGCCCATTAAGACACTGGGCTCAGCTCATTCTGTATTTCAGAGAGGCAGTCATGGTTGGGATTCGGGGAGGGGAAAGCAAGCAGCAAATGGAAAGGCCGTGCTGGGATTGTTCTGCCTCTCCGATTCACACAGTCACACAGCAGCCTTTATTTCTTAAAAGCAACACAGAGGATCACATTTTGGGACTACTTAAAAAGAATGTAAAATGTTGATTTGAGGAACGCTGTTGAAATCATGCTTCAGAAAGCAGGGAAATATTTAGGACTAATTCATTCAAGATGATATTTCCTGGGAAAAGAGAGAGAACCTGAGAGCAAGGATCTAGAAAGGGTTTTTCAACCTTGGCACTACTGACATTTTGCAGTGAATAATTCTCTGTTGTGAGGGGCTGTACTGTGCATCATAGGATGTTTAACAGCATCCCTGACCTCTACTCACTAGATGCCAGTAGCAATCTCTTAAGTTGTAATGATCCAAAGTGTCTCCATTGTTAAATGTCACTTGGGGAACAAATTTCCCCTGGTTGAGAACCATTGAGCTAGGAGGATATTCCCCAGACACCAGGAAGGGCCACAGAGAAGCACTTAATAGGGCTCACATCCTGGATGAGCAGTGGCCTCAAAGAACCTTTCCTAATGCAAAAAGGGATGTCCTTCAAATGATAGAGATGGTATAGGGAGAGGAGTAGTTTATCTGCTGGATCTGATGGTAGCAGATTGTACAGGGTCTAAATTCAGCATATCATGAAGGATGATAAAGACTGCAAGGTGGTTCTATCAAACCCAGTGCCCAGAAGAAGAAGTGAGCTTTGTACCTTCAGGCAAGATTCTGGCTAGGAGCTTTGTGTGATATGCTGCTGAATGTGAGGAGGGAGATCTGGGGAAAGGATAAAAAGGAAGAGTCCATGGAATAAAGGATAGAACCATCTGCCAACTCCAGATGTTCAACTTAATTGCATGCTGTGGAGCAATTACCCCCTGATCCAAAGGAGGCTGGCTGTGCATTGGGCTGAACCAGGAGACCTGAGTTCTGTTACTGCTTCTGCTCCCACTTATTCTGTGAGCCCCCAGAATGGGGGCAGAATAAAGAATTGACTTACATTTTAGAAATAACCATTGTACTTTTAGAAACATTTATATAATTTACTTCAGAGAAGAGCTTCTGATTTAGTCCTATAACTTTTTAATCATTTATTTTATTCATACTATATATTATTGGTAAATAACCTCCTATTTATCAATATAATCTATACTAATAATAGAGGAATATGCAAATTGTCCAGGATGCCGTCACAGTAACAGTAACGACCAAACAGAACAGCAGGCTGCGTGGGGAGACCAGACTGGCAGAAGGGGCAGTTGGGGTGACCAGGTCAGCAGGGGGTCAGTTAGGGGCAATCAGGCCAGCAGGCAGAGGTCATTACGGGTGATCAGGCTGGTAGGAGGTGGGCAATTAGGGGTGATCAGGCAGGCAGGCAGGTGAGCAGTTAGGAACCAATGGTTCCAGGTTGTGGGAAGGATATTTGACTGCTGATTTAGGCCTGATCCCCAGAATCAGGCCTAAACTGGCTGTCGGACATCCCCCAAGGAGTCCCAGATTGGAGAGGGTGCAGGCTGGGCTCAGGGGACCCCCCTCCCCCTCATGCATGAATTTCATGCACCAGGCCTCTGGTAATTTTATAATTAAAATTTAATTATTAAAAACAATGAAATTTAATTATTTAAAAACAATGAAATCCATTGTAGGACTCAATGCAATATCTTGACACTAGTGAATTTTAATAAATTTGTGGTGAATGGTTGAATGAATAAATATAAGGTACTGAGAACATTGATAGTAATATCTCAAAGAACAAGACTAAAGCAAATTTGTGAGGTTTTTGGAAGTCAAAATGACATTCAGGCAATAGTAGACTGATAAATGTTTCTAAAAGTACAATGGTTATTTCTAAAATGTAAGTCAATTCTTTATGAATATAAAAACCCACCTATTCTTCCATATCCTTTCTCATTTTGGGCCAGTTCTATCGACTATTGGGAGAGAGGTGTTGACATCTCCAACTATAACTGGGGATTCATCTAATTCTTCTTTCAGTTCTATCATTGCTTCACATATGTTGCAGCAGTATTCTACAAGTTTTATTGGAAAATAAGCTCTTCTTACTAGAAATGAGGTGATCAAAAATAATTTGAGGGAGTCCAAAGTTAGAATAAAATATTTTTTTAAGGTTACCAAAGGAGAAAGACTGGAATGAGTGGCAACATTTAATTATCAAGATTTGAAATTCATGCCCAGGGAGAAAAAGAAAACAAGAGAATTGATCTCAGTTATTTTGAGTCAGAAGATCAGGAGTTGGACTGGATGATTCAAATATACTTTTCAACGCCGAGATTCTTTGATGTACTGAGATTCACTACAAAATTGCCCTGGACTTTAGATTAAGTGAGTTAGATCCTCTCAAAACCATTGGATGGTTAGAGATAGACATATTGTTAGAAGTCAGTACCATCTACCCAAGAGGTTGGAAGTAACTTGTAGATATAGTAGTGCTTACACTGTGTCAGCATTTATTAGTCCTGCTATGGCTAGGAGAGGCCTAGAGTAATCCACTACAGTGAGTTTTAGTCCAGAGTAGGGAAGGTGGCAGGGGCTGGGGCTGGGGTAGGGGTGGGGGAATGAATAAAATAAAACAATAACTCACTGAATGCCTCAGCAATTTGAGGAAAAAGGTAGCATGATTGGTGTGGAAGAACAATCAGACTGTGAGTTCTTTGGAATTCTTTTGAGTAATAGACAAGAGCACAAGTAAGGAGGCTACAAGTCACTGTACTTTAGGCTTTCAAAAGCCTATCATGAGGCTACAAAAAAGGTGAGCCTCCGTGGGATTTGGATAACATTTTTTTCATGAAAAAAAAATGCAACAAACAAAGCCTGGATTCCCATTTGGCCTTTCCCTTGAGTATAAAGCTAAGGGCATTGAATCCATTACTCAGCACCCAGCATAAGAGCATGAAACATAGTGGTCACTTTGTAAATATTTGTTGGATGACATTTAATTATCACAACTCTCTGAGATTCCTATGATTATTATTGTCTCTTTTTTATTTTAAAATATATTTGTTTTGTTGATTTTAGAGAGGAAGGGAGAGGGGGAGAGAGATAAAAACATCAATGATGAGAGAGAATCATTGATCAGCTGCCTCCTGCACACCCCCTTCTGGGGATAAAGCCGGCAACGTGAGCATGTGCCCTTGACCAGAATCGCACCTGGGACCCTTCAGTCTGTAGGCTGATGTGCTCTTCACTGAGCCAAACTGACTAGGGCTATTGTCTCTATTTTAGAAGTGAAAACACAGATGGTGTAGACCAGTGGTCGGCAAACCGTGGCTCGAGAGCCACATGCAGCTCTTTGGCTCCTTGAGTGTGGCTCTTCCACAAAATACCACGTCCGGGCGTGCGCGTACAGTGCGATTGAAACTTCGTGGCCCATGCGCAAAAGTCGGCTTTCGGCCTGGGCAAGTCTATTTTGTAGAAGTGGCATTAGAAGAAGTGGGGCGGGGAGGGGAGGGTCAGTTGGTCGGGTGACGGGAGACGCGGTGCAGGTGGGCCACGGGATACGCAGTGCGGGAAGGTGCGCAATTCATGCAGGAGTTGAGTGTGGATGGGAGAGTTGGAAGGGGTCGACCTCAGCGAACGTGCCTCAATCAGATTGAGGACGTTTTTAGCAAAGGCCAGCTTAGGAGTACCCTAATTAAGTTAATAACAATGTACCTACCTATATGGTTTAAGTTGAAAAAATTTGGCTCTCAGAAGAAATTTCAATCGTTGTACTGTTGATATTTGGCTCTGTTGACTAATGAGTTGGCCGACCACTGGCGTAGACCAAGTAATATTTTTCTGCTAAAACCTGATGCCAATACTCTCAGATTCTCTTAGTAATCTACATCCTATCCCTTTACTCTCAGGTTGTCCTGACAGGCGTCTCAAACTATCCATGATCTCCCTGGCTCCTGAACCCAGGCTTTGCCTCCTTTTAATGGTCTTGTGCTTGGTCTTCCAATCTGACCTTATTTATGCTCTTCCTGTGCTGAGTTGTCCTGGCCCAGCCTGTCTCCTGGGACCTGCATCCTGCTGAGGTCCTTCAGTGTCAACGTTTTTGTGTGCAATCTTTTTACATGAATTCATTCAA